TGAGCCCCATCAGAATTGGGTTAACAAGGAGCTGGAGCATCTGAGACTACTGAAAAGCTTGTGTGTATGTGCGTTCCTGCGCGCGCGTGTGTCTGTAGCTATATAGAGATATATTTAAAAGAAGGTTAATTGGTCTCCTGGGAACTATAAAGAACTTGTTAGGTTCCTCTGTGTGAGCAGTGACTGTATGAAGCCTAATTACTGAGGCTGAGTTATTCTTTTTTTGGGGGGAAGGAATCTCTAAGGTCCTTATTAAAACCTACAAAAAGTCTAAAGAATGATGGAATTAGAATTGATTTGTCCGTGTTGATCACAAGCGCACAGCAAATAAAAACGTTGAACTCACCCCATGAAATACTAATGGGGGTCATATAGGCATGGTTTACACATCACTATTATGGGGATAAACAGAAATCCCCTTGTGCTGAATGACAAGACTAAGGAATAGAAGGCCACAGATTTTCAGGTAACCTGCATTCGTTATTCTTAGGGCAAGAAAAATACACTCAGCTGTTTTTGTAGGGACCATTTTATGAAGCATTCATCTCAAATGTATTTTCAGCCTGATTAACTTTGTAAAATCAGAAATGAAAAGGCCAATGGGAAAGAGAAAATAGCCATTATAAAAGCAGAAATAAAACAGAAGAGGACCTTTAACTTGGCAACCAGCTGTTGGCTGCCCTTCCCAAAACATGAGTCTGGCCAAATATTTCTTCCCTATAATCAGTAGTTTCTTTAGCTGTCATGTAGTTCAGCGAGGGGGCCTCTCTGCAGCACACTATTGCATGGTGCTGCTGCTCACATTGACACCATTTTCTGTGGGTGACGCCACCGACCCCGAGGCTGCGGATGCCAGCCTTTGCTCCAGGGCTTTTTGCAGTTGTGGCATCACGCAGCCATGAACACATCAGTGTATTTATCCTGGTGCATTTATCCATGGGCCTCATTTTCCTCAGCTGTGACATAATACTTTTGCCTTCTCTGGAAAGTTTCTGGGGGTATTTTGGGAACTACATCTTTTTCTGCAAATAGCTCTCCTGCTGTCCTACAAATAAGGTGCTAAGGAGCTATTTGCATGTAGAGTTTTAAAGCCCTTTTCAGTAGAGAAGTAGTGAGGCAGATGTATGGACAGTGTCATACCCAGTTCCTTTTAAATTTTTTTTTGTGGGATTGTTTTACCAAAAAGGAGTGAGTGGAAATTTCCCAAGGATCAACAACAACAAAGCCCAACTATGCAACTACACAACTCAGTCTCAGCATGACCCTAGGTGATTTGCTCAAGGCCACAAAGTTTCTGGTGCAGTGGAGAAGCCAAACTAGAACTCCACATCCATAGCAGTAAGACCGTCTTTATCCTTGTTTTATGGGAGATTTAATTCAGAATCAGGAAAAAAAAAAAAAAAAACTTATTGGCACAACCTCTATGAAAAACAACTCTGTTCACTATGAGTTTTGCTGTGGCCAGGGACTATTTGTAATATACTCTGCAGGGAAATAACCTCTGTATTTCATTAATATGTTAAAAAACAAAACAAAATGTATGAAAAACTAGCTTAAAAAATACACAGCAGAGAACAGGGTTACAGCTACAAGCACAGAAAATGCTGAGTAGTGGGAGACTTTTGCTGGCACAAACCTGCACACAATAGACTGCAGACACAGGGTGATAGCCTTGAGAAGGTCACAGCTCACTGCATTTTTCTTACTAGCGTCTTTCCTTTCTACCACCTCTGCTATGAATTGTAAGCTCTGTTTGCTAAGGACCCAGAGATTTTTCAGCTCTAACATTATTAGCACACTTTGAGGGTTATGGATACAAAGAGTTGCACCATGCTTAAAAAAACAACAGACAGGTTAAGGATCTGTTTTTATTTTATTATATTTTTGAAAGAAGGTTTTGTTCTATTGCTATCAATTATTCTCAGCAAAAGTGTACAATTTCCTATTATTTTTTTGCCTCTGTTGGTACTGCTTTTCTTCCAAACATATACTCCAATGTAGTGCAATTGCTGTAAGTGCGATCTAACATAGACTAATAGACTAATTTAAAGGAAAGCGACAAAAAAAAAAAAAAAGGTAACTCAAAATGTATTTCTGAGCCTTGAGGTGAACCCAAATTGTCATTACTTTCCAAAGGTACTGGAAAAATCTCTGAGTTGGTCTGCTGAAAACAAGTAGCAAGCCTGCCAGTATTATTGATAATGTTGCGGTCTGCTTCTTTCTGAGTTTAGACTTCAGCATTTTTATCTATCAGCTTGCAAAGCTGATAGCATCCAAAAACAAAACAAAACAAACAACAACAAAAAAACAAATGCCACAAACCAACCAACCAGAAAAATTGAGAGAGATTATTCTAGAGGGCCAAAACATCTGTGCATATATACTTCCAAGTACTTTGAGTTCAAGCTGAAAAAGTAAGACTACCTTGAAATGAAATGTGTTTAGCCAATGTGCCTTCCTCCCTGGTGCTCTTGCTTCCTACTGCACTTTCAAAATCTTTCTGCAGTCACAGGCCAGCCTGCTCTGCAGAAAATAGGCTGGGAACACAGAGAGAAAATCTGCCAGTAACAATCGTCCATGCAGTATCCGCAGCCCTGGTGGTGGTGTTGGGAGATGCAAGTCTCCAAGGGAAACCACGCAATAAATGTCTGACACCAACCAGATAACTTGACTGTTCATTTGACCAAGCTGAAAGAAATGCAAGTTTTGTATCAGCAGAAATGAATGTGAAGCATGAATTATGTCCCTGTACTAGGGAATCTTTGCAGAAGAGCCCAGAAAAGCAGGCCAGGCAAGGCAGGTAACGTGGTGGTAGTCTCAGGACCTTGACCTGAGTGTAGGTGGCTCCTTTAGCTTGCTGTAATCTCACCTTTCTCATCCAAAGCCAGGTAACTCTGACTCTGCCCTAGCACCCGTCTTTCCCTGTTGTTGTGCTTGCACAGTTGTGTGTCCTTGAACCAGAAGGCAGTGCTGCCGTTCATACATACAGCTGTGTGTATGCACGAGAGCTGGTGGGCATCTCCCAGCATGTGCTGCGTAAACTGATGCACGATCTCATCTCACACTCTGAAGTCCTTTCCATTTGCAAATCTTCCTATCTGATTTGTAATCATAAGATAAAACAAGTATCATCTTTATGCAAAACCACATAATGTCAAATACAGATGTGTCCCTTTAAAACCAGAAGATAGCTCTTGAAGACTGAGTACCTCTCACATTTTCTGATTGTCCATCAATGATGCTACTGCTTTGTCAGAAATCCCAATAAATGCAAAGGTCTGACCTTTTCCCCAGATAATTTCCTTTTCATAACAGCAAGAAGACCCAACCAAGCAGTGAATTTCTGTGGGGATTATTGCACATCTTGGGTGGCTGATACGGCTTGGCCTCTGGCCTCAAGCCATGCCTCGTACTCCAGAAAGGCGCTGCATTTCATAGGTTATTGCTTGCATATTACTGCCGGGCAAGTGAACGCTCCATACGGTGGAACAAATTCAAGCGCCTTGAAAGGAGATATCTTCCTCAGCACTGGCACTCATGTGCTGGGGCTGTAAATTATGCCCAGAGTGTTCATTTTCTTTTTAAATGTGCTCCCATCTCATAATAATTAATGGTGTCAAGTTACCGGTGTGAAAAAAGCCTGACTTTACAACAACTATGGATTAATGAAATAACAGTCATGGCTGGAGTAGCAGCAATAAATTGTTAGAGAGGAGCGACACACCTGAAGCGATACTTTCAGAGGCCTTAAATTATTTAGGTTTCGACGTTCCTCATAAATATTTGGCTGTTGTTAACATTTGTTTCTGTGTTAAAAGTGGAAGTCGGCAGCTCTGGCAAAAACAACCCTCTTGCTGAGGAGTGTGGGGAAATGGAGAACACGCTTTCCAAGAAAGGCTTCTCTTCCCCAAGGATGATCTCCTAGCTCATCACATCTCTGAAGGTCTTAGAGCCCCACCACACAGCCATGTCCTAACACCCCTGCCTGCTTGGTGGGAGGGAGAGGAGGGCGGGTATGGAAAAGAGGGAAGAAGGAACATGGTTGGCCTGGCAATCATGAAACTGAATTTGCTTAGAAAAACTGTTAACCACTGTGTTGCACTGCTCACTTGTCAGAGCCCCAGGCTCCAGCCTGTTGCCTGCTCTGAGTGAGGAGGAGGTGACCATACCTGGCTGCAGTCACCAGGGTGAGCATTTCCCTGGCTGGAAAGAAATTCCTAACTAGTGTTGAACTACAGGATTAAGTAGCCCAAAGCTCTATGCTCTGGAGTCCAAAATACTCTTTGGGGGACTGGAAGCAGTAAGTCCAAACACTGCAGGCCCAGAAATGTCTAAAAACCACAGCACCATCTTCCTGGGTACACACTCAGTGCACTTTGCTGTGTGAAAGAAAAGCTGGCACCTCACTTCTCTGTCAGTTCCTTACTGAGCGGGTAGGTGCTGGAGGCCCAGAGGTATCTCTGGGCACTAGCAGAAGGTTTGACTTCAGCCCTAGAGTGATTCAAAGGGGCTTCCAGAGCCTAGTCACCTTATAAACCAGGTTATTCTAATTGTTTCTTGAATGCTTTCTTAAATTGAGACACCTAGTGGCAAGTATAATTTCACCTCTAAAAATCCAAGAGGTAGTTTAAGCATGGTCCTGTTGACAGCATTCCTGTATTTCTTTTGGCTTTTTAATAACTTAAGTAGTTTCTCCAATTTTACTTTCATTAAACAAACAAACAAAAAGCTGGAATTCCTTTTATGTGGACAGATTATCAGCAGGCCTGTCACTGAACTTCTAACCCATACTACCCATACTACTTTTTGCACTGCCCCTGATACCCAACCTCTGATTTTGAGGAAGCTTCACAAAAAACTTGCACCTGCAGACAAAGGTTTGAGCTCATAGGTCCAAATCTCTCTTTTTAACAGTGTTATGGATTGAGAACTTGTTGAAGCAGTCAAAATGGTGAGACATCAGGATAAACAATTTCTGCATAGATACATATTTGATTAAATTTTTTGTTTCATCCATTTTAATATCCACTATTATAACATATAAAAGGCAAGAAAAAGAGGAACAGAACCCAAAAGTTAAAATGCAAGGGAAGAAAATCTCTTTTAGAACACTGGAAGTCTTTTATTTAATGTCAAATAGTATTGGATCAGGCTTTTGGAAAACACACCAAATGGTAAGTCAAAGGGAAAAATATGCTCTCTCTACATAGAATATTTCTGAGACTAGATCTTCAATTGCTGGCATAAACTGGCACAAAAAACTGGCTGCTGATGTCAATGGAATTACATTATTTTGTAACAAGCTAAGACTGTATGCATTTCCCAGCATTTGTTATCAATTAAATTGGGTGTTGTAAATTGATAATCAAGTATTATCATCTAAATTAGGTGTTTGGTAGGAAAAAAAAAATCCAAAGGGTGTTCTGATAAACAGACATAAAACAGGTGGTAAGGTGAGACTTTGTGATCATTCCAGAGATAACGGGATGGATACAGAAATCAATACCTAAAACACATGGGAGAAGCTGGGTCAAGTATCATTGAGTTAGAATTCAAGTCTCAGTTCTTCCTACATTCAGTGGTATTTGGACTGGAGATTCTGGTTATTAAATAAAAATTAAGAAAATTGTTCCTCGCTATATGTTTGTCTGTATTTTTATCACCAGTATCTGTTAAAATCAAATACTAAGGCTTACCCACTACCATTTTGCCTTGTAGAAATTAGAAACTTTCTGAAAATAGCACATATTCCTCCAACCATTAACTCAATTCAGAAGATACAGAAAACCAACAAATTTTTGTAATCAAAGTAGGGCCTGATGAAAAGACAACAAAATCATTGAAAAGCTTCCTAATGTAATAAAAAACATCTGATTTCCTTTCTCCTTGATTATTTTGTTTTCCAGACCGGATAATTTCTTCATTGTATTTTCATGATGGCCTCACACTGCTCCTTTAAGTCCATCAAGGTTTGCATCAGCCTGTGATCTGTCCCATGGGTCACCTTCATAATATTATAGGCCTGGAGAAGAGAGCAGAAAGGGACACATTAGTCATTGTTCAGGACATCTGAAAGGGTTGGTAACTGCGGTAGGGCATGGATTTCAGTGCCAACTCTCTAGATGGGGGCTTTAAAGCATGGCATAGTAGAAATCAGAGTGAAGTATCCCAAAGCATGTAACAATTTGTCTCTGACAAAGGAGGAGGTACTGACACATTATTCTTAGATGTTAAAACATTAAAGTCCCCTAATGTGTTGCACAGAGGGATGTTTGGCGTAATAGAGGGAGATGCTTTTGCACTGAGGCATGAAGGCAATTTTAAGATTGATCAACTACAACACCCAAGGTTTTGATACATTATTTAAAAGATGACTGTGATATTTATGCTGTTAATAGCCTCAAAGTCCTTGAAATATAAATGGATTAATGCTTAACAAATAGAATTAAGTGCTCTGACTATATAAGGAGAAAGTATACATAGCATCAAACAAATATGTAAATTAATAGTTTCACTCAAAAAAGGCACATGTGAGGAATGGTTCTTTGCTTCATTTCCCATAGATTATTTTCTCTCTGTGTTGGTCATCTTACATTGCTAGCCCAATTTATGCTTGCTCATATTGTCTGTTGTATTGCTGATTCCCTGCCACAGATATGTCTGACATACTCCTTGCCCAGCTCATGTTTCAATCACCGTTTCTCATACGACATTTCGGCTTCTTCATTCTTTTAAATTCTTCATGGAAGAAGGGAAGTACCAGGTGGAAACAGACTCAGCACTTCTAAGGAAAGAACAAGGGAGCTCCAAGTGCACCGATAGAAGAAAAAACATCAGAGATTTTTCTTCATCACAAGCTGAGAAATCATCAAAAAGTAAATGCAGCCTGGGCTTGAATAAGTTCCTGGTTCAGTCGGCTGACAAAATTCAGCTAAATCAGCTTTAGATTGCAGAAAAATTATCTTTTTGGAAATATGTCAAGGAAGGGACCTCATTTAAATTCAAAGATAAAAATAAATATAAAGATTCTTTGGTAGAATGAATCGAATTCTACTTCCAACTTCTAGAAACAGGCAAGCATATGGAAATTCTGGCATAATTTATTTTTGCTTCCAATTAGCTAACTTTTTAGAATAAGAGGAAGGAAGCAAAAGACTGAAAGAACAAGTTGAAGTATCAGTCAAAACAAATCAGAGTAAGCAAGGAACTCTACAAAGAATCAGATGTTCTGAGCTACCACAGTGCCTTCCTACTACTAAATGGTAAAATACTCAGTTACACAGAACAATGGAAATTCTTTCATTTCACTAGAAATGCCTAAGAAATGTGAAATAAAATCAGAAATCCTCGTTTTTGCATACATCTATTTTAGGAGAAATACAAATCTGTTCATGTTTTTGCAAAACATTTGCAAGGAAGTCATAATTATATTCCCTGAAAATACTCACTAAGCTGTTCTTAGTCTTCTGTTTTTCCTAATTTAACGTGAGGGGAAAATGTTGTGAAGAACAGATCACGAAAGTACTTCAACATAGTTGAGCATGAAGTGTTATGCTGTACGAGAGCTTTTTTAATATAAATAACTGAAGAGGTAGTGTACAAGGCGAGAATAAGAGCCAGTCCTTACTTGGCAGAGACAGTGGAGTGGAGAAATATGAACATGGGCACAGTGTAGGAATCCCTGTATGGTGCAGAGCAGCATAGCTGCAGGTGGGATCCCAGGCATGTTGCTGTGCAGCACAGAGCAGCTGTGCTCAGGCTAATCATGGTCAGGATGACTCCAGGGCAAAAGGGTGAGGGGGACTGGCCATAGATATAGACACGTTTGGTGTGTGGTGTTTACATGATCTGGCCAAGAAAGCTGATGGATTTATTGGGAAAGACCTGTGTTAACAAGCTGTGCATTTGGGCTGGATCATAGTCCCAGGGCAGCTGACCCTGATCTTTAGCCCACCTACAGGACACAGGTCAGGCAAGTAGTGATGGCCATCAACACCCTGATGTTACAGATGTCCATGAGGATATATATCTGATAAAAGGCAAAATTCCCTAATATCGTACCTAACCTTGAGATACCATTACTGTGGCTGACTTCTCTCTCACCTGCAACATTTCTTTTCCATTTCATCTCTGTCCTCAGTACGGCAGATAAATGCACACAGTCTTTATCCTTTTGTCTCCTTCAGGGAGAAAATCATTCTCATGCAATGTTCTGTCTTACACAGTGCACTACAAGTCAGAACCAGGCTGTATTGAAGGTAGAATAGCAATGACTTCCCTAATTCTCAGGTTACGCTGACATGAAGTTACAGAGCTATTTTTGTAAAGATCAGAGAAAAACCGGGGATAATTTCACCTCCAAAGCAAGGATTTTTTAACTGGTGATGTATGAAAAATATGGAGGAATATGCCAACTCTCTGAGCCCCCCCCCCTTTTCTTTTATATCTTAGAGCTAACCAGCAGAGCCAAGGCGGATCAGAGTCTTGTGATGTGTGTGGTCCTCCTCTCAGACAAAAGAAGAAATCTAATTATGAAACACTACAGTAATCGCAAGACAGCAGCTCAGGCCAGAGTGTCACCAACCACACGCTGTATCCCTGAAGAATATAAAACCCATTAGATCAGAGGTACAGCAGTTGCTCCATGAATGCAAATGAAAGGCAGCACAGCTCTGGGTGCCCCTCTTGCCTCGGTCCCCACCAGCCATCACTCAAGCAAGCCCATGGGCACAGGCTGCCACCACCACCACTACCACTGGGACTCACTTCAAGGAGGCAAGGGTGAAAAACCAGGTCCAAGTCTTCCCCTTGTACACCCTGCCTGTCCTCACACAGTTTGGTTGCACTCAGGTTATGGTCAACCAAAGAGAGGAGTCTGCAGTGCTGTGAAGGTAATGATGACCCCTACCAAATATTTAGGGCACCGAATGTGCACAGGGATAAACCACAGACACTCACCAGGGGATTCCCACGAGCTCCAGAAATGCAGACCTGTCCTGGGCTCGTGCGCGAGCGCTGCTTCCAGGTCGAGAAGCTTCACCCATCCCCAGACAGCCTGTTGCAACTGTTGTTACTGCCACTTTTACAGTCATCCAAGGCTCTTTAAATTAGTTTTGTCAGACCAGGCTCCAGCTCTGGTGTTTTGCTGACAAAGGTTTTCCTGATCTATAATTCCATTTGTTCTCCCAGCATTACATTTTTTCATATATATATATATAAATTTAAAAATGATAGGTTGGCTGTACAATAAACCAAAGGCTACCTTTAGGTTTTACTCCAGAAGTAGATTACTGCCTCTCTGTAATACTTCTATTTCCAAGACCTGGCAAATTAGATTCTGCAGGGGATAATATACTTTTAAAAGGTGATTTCATTTTAATGGGTAACACAAGGTCCCTCACATTATTTAAGCCTTCTTTCGGGGTGCAGGTGAGAGAGCTAAAACCAAAGGGTGATAAGAGTAGGGCAGGGTGGTTGTGATTCACTTTCAGGTGATGCAGGGTGCAGAAATACGGGCTGGGCTGCACGGCCGTGTGTGAAGATCTACGGGTGCAAACACACTGCAGGGCTGCTGCAGAGCCACTGTCAATCCACAGCAGCTCTGAGGCTGTGCTTGATTAAACAGGATTTATATGAGTGAGGTGAATTTCACTCAGATCTCAATTCCTCTGCACCTTCCCCATCCTTCTCCTTAATGCCAGGCTGAAATTAGTCTGACGAGAGCTCCAACAGGGTGCTATTCAGTGTCAGAGTGTATTAAGAAGAGTAATGAAGCAGAGAAGGCAATCGAGTTTCTGCTCTGAGCATGTGGCATGCTCTGTTGACACATCTAATCACAGAGGGCCAAACTGTGTTCTGATATAACTCCAGGACATTATCTGAGTTATATTAGGAATCACATCCTTTACTCGCAACAAACTGGGAATTACATGGCTCTAATTTGCTCCTGTGTAGACAGCGATGAAGGAGTCAGCTTCAGATCCCGTTCGAAGAAGCACTGCATCCCATGCATGCAAGTTGGGGAAGTAGGGGAAGTAGGATGACAAGAAGCTTTTCTGTCTGCTTAACAGTGCTCGCAGAGAGTGAGAGGCGAGTCTCTCCCTGTACGACATATTTGGTTAAAAAAGTGGAGACTGAATGGGGAGTAGACAAAGCTGCAATAGGATTGGTTTATCAATGGTTCTGCATCCCAGCTGCAAAGCACTTACTGTGTCCTTTTGGACCACTAATGTCTTGGAGAGCATGGTTAGAGATGCACAGAGGTATGGCATAAAACTGTAAACAGCATGTGCTCCTTTTTAAGGGACAGAGGAGATAAATCTTGAAAAAATGGTTTCTGTGTTAGGTATTGGTCTGCACTCAAAGAATAATACAGTAACAATCTGGCTGGCAATGGGCTACTGCACTAAACACATACAAAAACCCATCACAACTTCTGCCCTCACCAATGAGCAGCATTCGGATAGCTCTAGGGGAATTAACTCCAGTTTCGTTTAATGCAATATCATATTAGAAATGCAATTAGAAGCATGCCTGTTGATGTATTGCAGCAATATCAATGAAAACAAAAACTCCTCTGACTGGGGGCTCACTCCATTTGCTAAAAGGGAAGGTCCAAATGTTTGGAAATCATAAATATTACAGAGGAAATGGCAGAGCAGATTACCTGGCACATGGCAGATATATGGCTTACTTCTGAATAATGAATGGGAAATAGAATTGATTACGCTCCCATCAACTTCTTAATGATCAGAATTGGCCACAATTTAAGTTAAATATATCAAGTGAAGATTTAAATTACTAAGATTTGGTAAGAAAGGTGCCGTATCAAATACTGATTTATTATTTAAAGAGGTGAAAATGATCAGTTATTCACTTTGCATATATAATCAGATGTTAAAACCTAATAGATCAGGTGGTTCAGAAAAGCAAGTACAAACCAGTAAATTATTTGTTGTGTTGTGACTGCTATTTAAAGGGGATCCAGACAGGAGTAAAAAACACTTCCTCCCCATCCCCAGCAGACTCCCATCCCCTTCTATCCCAAGCAGCTGCCCCTCTTTGCAACACAGCTAGCTCTTCATACAATATGGACATTAAACAAAGGGGACAAAACAGCCAGCTTCTGCACTGGAGAGGACTGTACAGGAACAAAAAACCAAAAAACACTCCTGCTTAATTAGTGCTAAGAAAATATACGGTGTAAATGGAGAAGCAGAGAATCCTATCAATGCCTACCAGAAATTGCAGGCCCGTGTAATTACAGCTATTTTGTTCTCAACTCTGTGAATGGGGCATAAGCCATCAATTTCTGGCATGTAATTTCAGACATTCAAGTAGAAGAGAGGAGAGGAGCAAGTGCTGAGAACTTTCCCAAGGTTGTGCTAGAAGCTCTTCAGTCCCTCTGTCCTGCAATTTCCCCATTTGGAAATGGAGATGACAGGATTTCTCCAGTGGGATGTCTTAAGGATAAACTCACTGCTAACATGTGAAATACCCTGTCCTGAAGACAACACAAGCTGTGCAAGGCCTGTATTGTGACAAGTTCCTTGCAGAGGGCAAACTGCAGATGGCTATCTGCAGTGCTGAGAAAAAGGTGAGGAGACTGCATCAGGCACTGGAGGTGGGCAGGGAGACAAGTGGGGGAACCTCACAGGGTTTGTAGTGTCTTCAGGCCAGCTTCAACAAAGGACAATCAACAATACACGTGAATGAGCCTGAGACCTCTCTGAAGGGGACCTGAGGCAGCACATCTTCCAGGAGGAGAAAAATACCCCAACAGTGGCTTAGGATTTGAGACATGGAGCAAGTGAGAGCCTATGTCCTGAAAACATTGCTCACGGAAGGGGATTCTTCGGTATATTTAAGGTTGTAGTCCCAAGCCAGATAGTAAAAGCAATATAACAGCAGGACAAATAAGAGCCTGGGGTAGGAGGAAATGAATATAAAACTCATTAAACCTGAACAATAAGTTCAGGTACAACAGGGACAGCTTAAAACTGAAAAGGAACCAGCAAAGCACCAGCTGCAAAAACAGATTGAATGGAAAGATGGTGAGTGACACAGAAACAGGGGGGATCGAGAAGCATGCCTGTTGATTGCGTAGCTCACAGTAAAATACAAGCATGAAAAGGCAAAGTTCTTCCATCCAAAATCACAAATACCTAAGAAGATACTATAAGGAGGGTAGAAACCACAGCTCCGCACCTGTTTTTGTACTTCTAGTGCTCCCAGAATCCCTTTGCTATGGTAATAAGGAGAGTAGAAGGCACTGAGATAGTTTTATCTCTTCAGATCTAACAGCAATTTTTCATTCAGGCACTTCTGAGCTATCAAACTGCAATTAGCATTGACTGATACTGAGGGAAGGCAGTGCCTGAAACTCTGTGCAACAGTGACCCATCATCACATTCAGCTGCAGCCTGGGGAAACAGCACCGACAACGGAAAAAGTGGTGAGGAATATGCAAAGGCACAAGGTACAGTCAGAGGAGAAGGGGAGGGAATACATGGCTGGTTCGGGGCTAGTGAGAGCTGGGGGAGGACGTAGCATTTCACAACACTGACCTCTTTCAAAGTCTCCAGTGCTTGAGGAAACATGTCTTGACTGTACTGCAGTTTGCCCACTCGCATCAGCTGGACAGCCCTCAGCGGATGGAAGCCAGGATAATACAGTCTGCAGAGAAAAAAGGAGGAAAATGTGTCACTGTGTCAGCTCTCACCTTCACAGTCACTGCCTCTGTGGAGAGCTATTAGGGTGGGACCGCAGAGTCATTGTGAATGTTAATAAGGTACTCAGAGAAAATTAGCTACACTACTGAGAAGCATGAAATACTGAGGGGAATTAGCAAATTATTACTCTCCATCTCAAAGGAATGCCTTTAACATTATCCTGTTAGAAAGTGACGGGAGTGGGATTATTTCATTTGCTACTGTTGGATAACACAATAGAATTTACTGTACTTAGTGTTGCAAACAGAGGTCGTTCACAATCCCAGGTCCCTGAAGAGCTATAATTTTAAAGGGAAGCTTCAGAAGGAAACTACCTCTTGGATCCTCCAGGATGAAGGAGAGGGGGCAGCACAGAAAGCAGGTACATACATCAAGGCCACCATTTCTGAAGGTTTGCTAGCTGCTCCCTGGTGCAGAAAAGAACTGGTAATGCATGTTCAAGGAAACATCTCAGACTGGGCTCGTGCATCTAGACACGGTATCTGCTACTGTGAGGAGAAACTCCTCACTTCCACAATCAGAAGTTTTCCATCAATCTTATTGGAGTTACTTCGGAAACACATATATAAAAATATAACTATGCTCTCTCTCTCTTTTTTTTTTTTCCCCTAGGAAGTAGATGGAGGGTGACATCATCATTAATTTCCTTCAAGATGCTCATGAAATGTCATAAATCTCAAATGAAGATGTGCAAATGTCATGGAAAATGTTTTCACACCCAACCTCCCCTTTTTCTGCTGATCCCCCAGTTTCAGTGAAGATGTACAGAAACACATGGGAAGCATGCCTGGTTTGCTTGCCTCTCAGGACCTTTATCCATCAAGTTCTCTCATGAAGTAACAGAAACCAACTCCTTAATGTGAAGAATCCATCCTGAGTTGACACGAGCAACAACTGTTTATACTACAAAAACTACAAGACATGCACAGAGGCATTCTCAAACCTGTTGTGGGTTGCAATCCAACAAGGCTGAGAGCCAGTAGACTAGAGAGAAGAAAAATGATAGTCCTTGTCTCAATACAAACTGACCACTTAGGAACTTTAAAGATCCAGTTAAACAAATACTGGAAAAATATCAGTAGATTTATTTTTATTTTATTTTTCTGATTATTATATCAATTAACATGGTGCTATCTGCTAGTAGTTAAGCAAGGAGGAAATACAACTAAGAGATTTTGTTGTGAATTAGTGAACAGTCATATAAATTGCAGAGATAACATGGCACAAATGGGAGTAGTGATGACATGCACAACTTTGTAAAATTTGCAAAACAGCAATGCCCAGATGGTTGCAAACTTCTGCCTTCACCTGTGACTGCTGCAATGGATGAAGCATGAAGGTCATTCCCCCTCTTTCTGGGCTACTGGAATGCCAGGATGCCTGGGTCAAATATCACAGCCATGGGAGCAGGAGACAGGGAGGCAGACTTTTGCATGAGAGAACTTTTTGCAGTACTCACTAGATTGTTTGTGCTGTGCCCTGACAGTTCTGATATTCCTTCATGGCCTTCACATGTTCATTGCAAACCTCCACTTTTCATCCTTTCAACCATCTTTTTAATATTTCTCCTTTCCCTCTCCTTCCTGAATAACCAGCCCTGTCTGAAATACCAACACCAACTGGGTCCTGCCTTGCCAGCAGCCACCATGGGGGTGGCAGCTCACAAGGACAAATTCAGGCTGTGCTTTGGTCTGGCAACGTGGGGTTTGCTAAACTTCACACAAGTCCATCAGAATGCAGAGTCTGCCCCTGCATGCAAACGGGTCTCTTTCTACAGAGCATACGTTCACTTGAAGTCAATAAAGACTTAGCATCATTTGGTATATGCAATGCCAGAGCAAACAGGAGGCAATTTAACAATGTCAGGGACTCAGCCCAGACTACCATCCATAAACCAAAGCAACTGAAAATTTAAGATGAGGACACAGAAGGAGTAAGTGTGAAACAAAGAGCCTTGAGTTCATAAATATTTACAAAGCTGTTTTACTGTGCTGATTTATGTTCTGATCTTATGCATGTATATAGTTACATTTGCAAGCCTTAAAATTGACATTTGAAACAACTATTTATTATCATATTCTGAAATAAATCTATTAAACACCTTTTTGTGAAAGCGCATCCATTGAGTGAGTTTATAAGAGAAATCCAGGCAGCTTGCAGCTCTTCTGAGAGATGCGTAAGCAGGCAGAATGCTGCTGGCTTCTTCCAGGCATCCCTAGGATTCAGTATTATGAAAATCTGGCGTGGCAAAAAGAGCTAAGAAGCAGTGTCAGGTATTTGTGAGCTATCTGCTATCCCCATGCATTGCTCTGAACAAAACAAATGGATAATTTTAAGACTAAGGAAGACATTTACCAGCCAGGGAACTAGCACCTAAAGACTGTCAACAAGAGAATAACACAACTACAGAGAAATACATGCTGTAAAACACAGAACAGCTCAGAAAGAATAGGATTTCAATCTGAAAAGGATTTTATGAGATTTACCAAGGCCTGAGGGACAGGAAAGGGAACAGTATCACACTAAAAGCTGAAATAAAGAAAGACGGTTCTGTGGAGTGATGTTTCCTGCTCCTTGGCACTGGTCAATGCCCATCAGTCCACTTGCAAAGAGAGATTAAACAGAATACAATAACTAACAAGTAAAATGCACTGTAAACAAGAAAACTAGAGGAGGATGAAAAACATATTTACATTTTGTATCACAGCCTTCGCAGCAAGGCTTTTTTCCAGTCTATGACTAACATCATCCATGCCAGCCTGTTCCTCTGCCTGTCAACTGGTCCCCCCCATGTGGCGTGATGTGCAGACAACACAGGAGTGCCTCTCGTTGCCTCCTGCAGGTTAAAGGGTGTTAATCGGGACCGGTCCCTGGACAGTCCCCTGTGGTACCCACTGGTACTGGCATCCAAACAAGCAACAGCACCTCAGCCATGGCCCTCTGACCCCCACATCCAACAAGATTTTTACCTGTCAAGCTGTCTACTCATCTGAACCGTGATGTCCTAACTTGGGTGGTAACTCCCTGATCCTCTCCACCTTTCAAAGAGGACAACAAGAAAGCTGGCCAGCTCTCAACACCTTTGTTAGAGGTCCAATGGGTTTGTACGGGTCACACTCTCAGGTAATCCTCTTGACTCAGCCCCCTCTCTGGGTTGTGCCTGGAGCACTGCATAGGTGAAGAGTGAGGCAAAGAAAGCACTGTCTAGTTCGTTATTCAAAACCACAATTGAAAGCTATTTCCCAGTCTCCAGGTAGCTTGCTTCAGTGTTTCACTGTTCCAGGAACCAGCAATTCCTGCACTTCATTCACAAAATACACGGATACCAATTTTCAGTAAGCAAAGATACGGCCAATACTTGGTAAAGCAATAGTTGTTTCTAATATACCATGAAATTGATAGCTCCTATTTGCAGCTCAGCCCCAAGGTTTGCCTTGATGACCCTCCATGCAATTACTGTTCATATACTTTACAAAGAAAAAAAATCTTTCCATAAATCTGTATCAACTCTGAATCTCTTCAAGAAATCCTTTGTGTTCTTGTATATAGAACAACGTAAAAAAGAAAAACACTTTTGACTAATTTTAGCTAAATCCTTCTACATTTTAATACTGCAGTTCCTCTAATTACACTCAAATTATCTCTCATTACAGGGTAAACAATCAGCAACTTTTGTGTTCTGTTGTGAGCTAACGGCTACTATCAAAAAGGATATGCAAAATCACTTTATTTTCTGATGCCTCATGTTTTAAAATAAATAGATGCCTTCCATTTCCTGTAAATCTGTCTGCAGGGTTAACATCTACACCTTTGTCTTCAGCCTGATGTAATTAGAAGCAGGCAGGATTTCTAAAACCTGAAATAAGGGTTTAGAATGGAAATGTTACCAGGCTCTTTAATATGGTGACATGTAAAAAGTGATGCTATACATGACTGTAAATTGGTTTGCAGTATCTTTTCATGCAAGTAAATATGACAGCATAAAAGACATAAAGCAGTTTTAGGAGCCACAGCAACGGAGAAGGAATTAAGAGCAGGCTCCTGGGCTTCAGAAAAGGGGTGAGCAGAATGCAAAGAGGACAGCATCAGTCTCCTGACAGAAATGTACTAGCTACAGCGGGTGGAAATGTTCACCACAAATACAGCACAGCCTTGTTTTCTTTTTCTGATGTGTTCTTGATTTCTGAACTACTCAGTATTTGAGTACATTCATTAAAGCTTTTCACTAAACTGCAGCCAAGGGATTATTTTTACGCTGTCCAGTGATTTTTATTTTTTCATTATTTAGCGATGTAAGACTGGTCATTCATAATTCGCATGATATTTGTTCCACTCCTTGACTGGGATGATCAAAGGGTTCCACATCTGGGACTTATGAGAAGCATTTTTTAGGACAAATTTAAAGACAAATGATTATTTATGATAAAAAGTATGAAACATTTGGTATCTATCAACTGCTCCAAGAATGAACCAGTTATTTTATGAATAGTCAAAGAAAGTGTATTCCTCAGGAGTATAAAACAGGTAAACTAACAGTGCTCATTTACAACTATCTGTGCTCATTTAGGAGCTCACAGATCTTAATGCCAAAGGGACCGTGCTGCAGCTGTTCAGTCTGATCTCCTGCACAGAATTTCACCTGGCAATTCCTACACCAAACCCTGCAATTTGAAGCTGGAATAGTGCTTAGCAAGCAATGTTTTATTTATAGAAAATATCCTTAAAGAGCTTTGTACGCAATTTTTTTGATAACCACCAGCCATATGCAAGAGTTTTGTCTGGGATGGAACAAGGTTATAGGGTTATTTTTGGTGGAGGTGGGAAAATGTTATTGATATAGAATAAATGACTTTGTTTTGCATGCTAAGCATTAGAAGTCTAGTTGGAACTATATAATTTCTCAGGGCAGCATGTCTATTTTAACCTACATATAATCTTTAGGGT